AAAAAAAAATGTAAACTTTTTAATCTTATAAACAATATAAAAGTATAATTTTATAAAATATATATCATTATAAATAAATAAATAAGTAATATTAAATTATATTTTATCGTATGTGATTATAGTTGTAGCCTAATAAATAAGATACTTTGATAACAACATAATTATATAAAATGCGTAAAAAAATTAAACAATACATATAAATATGCCAAAATTCTTTTAAGAAATAAAATATTATTTGTGAATACAATAAGAAACAAATAAAACAATAGTAAGAGAATGAGGAAAAAGAAGTCTGATTTTTTTTAGAGAAATATGAATATCAACATCTAGAAACAAAAGTCTTTTCTAATTACTACATTTTTTATTACTGGCGTTTAAATTCTCATAAATATGGATCCTATATTATAAATTTTGATTTTTTAAATAATTAAAAAAATAAAAAACTTTATAATACATAATGTATATTTGTATAATGACTTTGTGATAATAAAGTTCACAGATGGTGAAGAATATTATAATATAATAGATTTTTAATTTTTCTCCTCTCTAAGATTTTAACAAAAGGATATGTTTCTCAATATTATCTCATTGTTTTTTTTTTTCATTGTTAAAGAATCAAGAAAAGATATTTATCATAAAATTTCGAAACATTATGATTGATGCAAAAATTTGGACAATAAATGCGTCAGAAATCATTGGAACAACCAAGATGCTCAATGATTTGCAAACAAAATATTATATAGTTCGTCTATCTTCTAAATAAATAACATTGAAATTGAATGTCGGGGCATGATCAAAATATTATTGAATTTTTAAATAAAGTTATCATATTTTGATAGAAATATTTACAATTCCCATGGGTGTATTGTGCTCGAATATATGTGGAATTACTCTAGAGTATATACTTTCATGGAATGTCTGATGATTTTAAAAAATAATTTAGTTTTCATGTAATGTGTGATGATTTAAAAAAATAATTTAGTGTCTCGGGAGAAGTATATGTAACCAAGATTTTGAAAGGTCAACTTTTATTTGGAAATGAAACTCATTCTCACCTCGTGGGGAGATGCCTCCATGTGGGAGGTGTCAATTTGTCTATATGGAGAGAGAATAATGAAATAGTTTAAAAAAAAATATATCAACAATTTTAATGACACGGTTGATTATTTCATTGAGATATTCATTAATTGTTATTAATAATACCTTATAAAGATCATAACCATAGAGTTTGACTATATATTTAGACAAAATATTTTGCATTGTTTGAATAAAGTAGACTTTTTGTCTAATGAATTAAGAAGAATTTGTCTATTGATGTATAGAACTCGAATGGATACGTATGTTTTTTTATGAGAACGTCTCAAAACTAAAATGAAAAAAAATCACTCTTGAATCGTCAAACATTAATAAATAAAAGAACTAATGCATTTATATTATAAATTATGTCTTTATTTTGTTATTAAGTGTCTTCTTAAAAAAAAATTATTGACTCATTTTGCATATATTTTTGTTGGGGTTGTAATATGTTATTTTATTCTGTTTACATTAGTACATCGTTATGTTATTTTGAAAAAACAAATACATTAGGACCTCATTTGTTCTACATTTTATTTTGTTCTTGCAATGATATGTTTAATAAATTAATTAATTTATTTTACTAAACTTAATCGGCAAAAAACATTCGTCGCCACGTGCGATGCACGTGCACTTTACTAGTCTTATTAAAAAGCAAACCATCGTTGATTATTTACTCATTTTAACATGCTCGACCAGTCAAATACTGATTCTTTCGCATCGAATTTATTGAAGAGAACATTATATAGGTTAGGGGTAGAGCTGTCAAAACGGGCCGACGGGGCGGGCCAGTCCGTTGCCCGCTAAATCCTGCCATTTGGCGGGCCAGGCCCGCTAATTGTTTTTCTTTTTTTTTTTAAACAAAAAAAAATAACACAACATCACCAAAATGATTTGCAAATTGTCTTTTCGATGGGTTGGGCTGGACCGTATAATAAATTGTCCATTAACCTAGGTCCGAGTCCGAAAATCGATCTGCCTGCGCCTATTTATGCGTGCTGCTCTCTTTTTTTCTTCCTGAACTGTTCAGCCCGCCCCACATACAGAGAATAGCAGTCATGTCTCTGAATCTTAAATCAAAATTGAAACCCCTCTTGAATATTGTGTAGAACCTTTTCTACCGCTCCTCTCCCCGTCATAACAAATTTATGTTAAATTGGAGTTTGAGCTTTGGGATTTGTGTGGAACGTGGAGGATAAGGATTCAGGAGATGAGAATTGGAATTTGGAGGTATGTGGAGGAGATGAGAATTGGAATTTATGTTAATAATTGACGGGCCAGCCCGCGGACTAGCGCGCGCCCGTGAGTCAAATTGACAGCTCTAGTTAGGAGACCGATTCCTAATTCAAACGAGCTGTCCGGTCCAATATTTACAACCGCGGTTTAACATCAAATAAATATATGGGCAAAAACATATAATAATAAGGAACGGGTATTTTATTCCAGATAATAATACAAACAGCACAACTACTGCCTTGCTCTATAGGAGCATATAAGAGCAGCAAACATATCAATACAAGTACACAACTCAAGCTTCACAACAACATCAAACACAAACTTTTTGCACCGTTCCTTGTTCCGAGCAATCAACTGATCATAAGCCTCACATATCACGAACACATGAGCTTTGACATGCAGGGATAAGAAAATGGGGAAAGTGGACGAATGCAATGGTATACGGATTAACCGTTATGGGCTTCGAGTTGGCTACTTGCTTGGGCTTCAACGAAGGTATAGCGCCACTTGGGCCTACAAATAGTGGCTTCCCGTTAAGCAAAACTGTCCGGCTCTGCAACTTCCTATCCATTGGGCTCAAGTGGTATTCTTCTCTGTACTCTCGTACGAGATTAGGAACCAATGAGAAGACATTTGTCTTGATTATGGTATCTGGACTTAGGTTTATCAGAAGTAAAGTAAGTCCGTCCTGCAAACATGTAGGTTAACAAATGAGTAAGGCCTAATTGCTAAATGCAACTTAGTGTATAATTAAGGACTAGAGGAAAATTACGATTTTGCCAAACAGTACTTACGGATTGTTTTGCACAATGGGCGTAAGCACGGAGGTCCTTAGTCCCATTGTATGATGTCATCAGAACTTGTGTTCCCATCAAACGATGCCAAAGCAGTGCGCTGCGTGCAAAATACGACCAACTAAAAGTGACTATCTGAAGAAAGATATATAGATCCTTCACTACTTTTCTTATAATCGGTCAATTTTCATCTATTTATTACTAATCACTATCAAATATCTTCATCTAACTTTCTATCCACATTTTTAGCTTTATATACTATCACAAAAGCATGAATTTTTTTTTTTTTTTTTTTTGGATAATAAATTGGTCTGTCCGATTTTCTTTCATGATAAGTAAAATATTTTGGGTAGCTGGAAGGAGTAAATATCTAACTTTTTAAATAAATGTCAGATAAAGGAAGGAATTGCAAAGTTTACTTTCACAGCTTAGAGGATGATTGGATATAAAAAATTTTGGTTTTGTTTGGATTTTTTTGTTTGGTTTGGTTAATTTTGAAAAAGTTGGTATGGTTAGTTGTTAGTGGGTATATTAAATAATATTTAAAATAAAATGATTAAAGTTGATTTAATGTAAAGTAGGAGAGAGAAAATTTGAAGTGATGGTTAGTTAAAATTATGTGAGTGGATGAATAGTGAATTAAGGTAAGGTGGTGTGTAAGAATGATTGATTGATATTATTTAATTATATTGATAATATTGATGATAGTGGGGTTGAGTTAAAGTTGAGTTAAAAAAGTGGTTGAGTTAAAAATGTTTGGATTTTTTTGAAAAATTTTGTATCCAAACATGCTCAAAATTTCAAAACATAAATACATTAAAGCAACCATCTCATATTATAATTGGCGAAAAGCTGTACCTTATTCAAAATATTATATTTATTTTCACAGCTTAATTAATAAGCAAAAAAAAAAAAAAGTCTCGAAAACGTGTTATTAAAAATAATGCCATAATTTATCCCATTATAGTCCTCATCTTAATTCGCAAAAAAAAATTTAAGACCTGAAACTGGCCCGTTTGTAGAACGGGTCCGGTTCAATGACCCGTATATAGTGGTCGGTTTTGGGCCAGTTCCGGGCCATGTTTACATCCAGTCCAAATCAGTCATCCTATGTGGACCCAATTAATATACCCTCAATTGAAATATTCATATACCCTCAATTGAAATATTCTTGTAGGCGCAAACACCATATAGTAACAGACGGTGAAATGAACAAATTTTAAAAGTTGTGTACGTACAACTAATATATCACTACAAAAAAAAATGTTATATTCCAACGGGAAATTCGACGATAATATATTCCAACAGAAATTCCAACGGATATTCCAATGGTATAGCTTTCGTTGGAATCATTTCAACGGAAATTCCAACGAAAATATTCCGTTGGAATGAATTTTCCATTGGAATTTTAGATGGAATTTGATGATTCCAACGGCTATTTTTCCAACGGTTTTTTACCATAGGAATTTTCGTTGGAATATGAATTTCCATTAGAATTTTTATTTCTACCTCCGTTAGAAAATCTACGGTTGGAATCTTCAAAATCCAACGGAAATTTCAATGGAAAACCCATTCCAACGGAATATTTTTGTTGAAATTTGCGTTGGAATTTCATTAAAATATATTTGTATTGGAACTCTCCGTTGGAATTTGATCATTTTGTTGTAGTGTATCGAGTTAATTGCAGATAAAGTTATGGTGTGTTGTACTTGTACCTACTGCTGCAGGTAAACAGTTACGTTAGTACAAATTAAGGATTTGAGCTAAAATATTGTTTCAACCTGTAGTAATCTGGATTCGGGATAAACGTCGCAGTGTCGAGCAACGCATAGTTACCACCGGTCAGCGTCTGCCTACAGTACACCTTGGTGTCGTAAACGGCTGCAGTTGCCATATGGTCCAAATACCTATATATTTTCGTAAACTTATTTTAGAATTAGTCCGATATCGTATCCAAATTAAACAAACGGGACACGAGGTNCTTAACTCTCTATATATATATATATATATATATATATATATATTTAATTACCAGAAACTGAAGAGGAAGGTGTTAGTGATACCATCACGGCCGCTATTGTATACGCCTCCTGACTCTCCAATCCAAGAAACCGTCTTTGTCGGGGATAGCTTGAGAAGGTTGTGCATTTGTTTGAACACTTCGGCCGCCTCGTCAAGAACAGTTGCATTCAGGATTTTGTTCTTGAGGTTCTCGTCGTACCCTAAAAAATGAAAAAAAAATAAATTAATTTTCGTTTTTCATCACCCGATATTTAGTATGGACTTTCGTGTCTTGTGTTTTAGTATTAGTCACCTGAGCCGAGAGGGTAGGTGTGGTGGGTGATTACGCCAGGTGGTCGAGTCTCATTGGTTATGAACTTCTTGAACCATTCGTATTCGAATACCCTTCCTGGGGCTATCAAGGCCGGAGTATTAATATTAGGCCCCACGTAAATGCTTTTTACTACCTCTTCAAGACGAGCCATATCGGCTGCATATTGTTCGGGTTCAACTCTCACACCTTCTACTGGTACTCCTCCCAATTCATTCCCTAATTTTTTTTTTAATTTTTTTTTTGTTTGAAAAAAAAAAAGAAAAAATTACATGTTAATTAAGTCTCCATTTTACCAGTCTATGTGATGATGCGTATATTAACAAAATTGAGTTTGAGACGCATGCATTTCNAAAGAGTACTTTATGTTTGTTTAGTTTCATTTTTTGAATAAGTATCCATTTTTTATTACCCTGTTCGATTGACGAAGGAATTTAATTGATCCCATCTATCCAACGACAAGCATCCATCGGTGTAGTTGAACAAATAAGACGTGTTATAGGTGAAAATGGGGCATGGGTCGGTCCTTGAGTTATTAGTTTGGTAGGTCAATCTGTCTTGCAAGGTGCCTCCTAGCCTTAACCTTACGCTCGAAAATGCTGCTCGGAAAAAAATAAAATAAAAATCGAATTCATGAATTAATCATATGAGCTTGGATTATTTAAAATAGACCCAAATATGTGTTAGTAAAAGCTCAAACCTTTAACGGCACTGATGAGGATTGGATTGTCGAGGTCCTGTGTAGTAAGGAGCGGAAATTAATTAGTCCAAAAGCAAACTCAAAGATTCACAGTTATTATTAATTTCACATATATTAATTCTATCGTTGATTTTACTTTATTTTATTTTTTTTTTGGTAATTTTTTTTTGGTATTATCCTCTGATGATTTTACTTTATTTTGATTCCATATAAAAGAGGAGAGAGTAGTTTATAGAAAACACGTACCACGGTTAGCAGAGAAGCATTGCCCCAGCTACAAACACCATAGTCACACTTGGCCGGCGGCCACATGTCGAGAGTCACACATATGAAATTTCCATCAGTCTCAGCAATACTTTCTACCCCATCAATAAAAACCGTCCCTGCTCAGTAACACTAATGGACTCGGCACCACAAGCAAAGCTCAAATAGATAACTGTTACTACACTCGAGAAAACTAGCCACTCGTTCAAGGAAACCATCTTATTACTAGCTGAGTATTTACTTTTAAGGTTTTTTTAGATGACTCTTCAGCACATTTGTGTTGCGGTATTTATAGCCGGAAAAGTTGATCAATTATTGATGAGTTCCTATTTGCATGTGTGTCCCTCGGCCAGCTTAGGCCTTACGATCAACTACGTACAGNAAAAAAAAAAAAAAAAAAGAAAAGAAAGAAAGAAAAAAGAAAAAGAAGAACAAGCCGCAATTCTATTACATTAGTTTTAGTGTTGTCCCTAAAGACTCACTCATTTGACCTAACCCATGAGAGACCTTCAGGTACATTGAACCTGGACGTGTGATCTTTCAACTGTCAACCACCTAACCGTCGTTTCAGTGGTTACCAGGTGGAATGAAAGTGAGTTAACACTTGAGAAATTGCCCAGTTACAACAGCCGTAAGTGAGCAATTACAAGTTGAAGAGTAATCTCCTGCCTGATTGTAAGTCCTATAAATAGGACAGTGTAGAAGCTGCAGAAGCCACAAGACATATAACTGCATATCATTCTATACTGAAAGCCTCACACATCATATACATTGCTCATTTCTCGGCTCTATTCTTGTTCGCCGGAACTCTCTGAAAACTGGTGTGTTACAACTTCTAAGTGAGTATCCGTTGTATCTTTTGGGACATTACGCACATACTCATAAGCACTACACACGACGTATTTGTCTTACAGGAAGAGTTTACTCGCTTTGACTTTAATCTTTCTGCTCCTAAGTTGTAATTTATTTTCTGTTCTAGTTTATATTGTACGAACTGAAGTCTTCAGTCAGTTCATAGATTCCCGTATAATCAACACAAATTTTGTAACATGTAACACTATTTGGAACATGATTTTGAGACAATTTTTTTTTTTTTTTTTTCNTTGAGACAATTTTTATTTTTCCCCGGGATGGACCTGCAGTCCAATCCCCTAAATTCTCGTAACTCTGCCGGCTGCCATGAGTTATGAATGTAACTTGAAATATTAATATGTATTTTATAAATGTTTTCTCGAAGCAATAGACATATTTATTATCAACTGTGACACATTATATGGCCAAAACAAACTCAACCCGTATTTCGAATATAGAAATTGCAAATATATATAAAAATAATACAGAAAAGGAGCCAAGATTCAGATGGATGAACTAAAGATTCAAAATCGATTTTCAAAAAATAAAACTCAACCCGTATTTCTAATAGAAATTCCATGTCGAACTTTTGATGCAAATTGAATTTTCAATAGATTTCGGTTTAATTAACTTAAGATGCATGCAACACTATATATAGTAATTACATGTACGCACACTAATTATCTTCATAATTTATTACTCTTGTAATCTTGTTTAAGTAGTTATTTGAGTGTTAATCTGTAACCTAAACACATGGAAAATTGCAATTGCATGGGTCCAATTAACAGCCATGTGGAAAAGTCATTAAACTCCGAAATTATTGAACCATATTTGTCAATCATTTACTACAATGTTGCGTTTCAAAAGCTATGGCACACTTAGGTGTAGATCAGGGCCGGCCCCGACTGTAATTTGTAGAGGTGTTGTGATTGAGTAGTTCCCCAAAACAGGCCATTTTTTTTTTTTTTTATTAATAACATTCCAAGAGAGTAGGGGTTAAGGTCGAACCCCCAACCTATATATAAAAGAGGAATTTGCACCCCTTACTTCCCCATATGAAATATATTATAATTATGCACCCCTTTTACAAATATTTGTATAATTACCTAAACAAGCCTAATTATTTGCTATTATACCTAAACAGTAAAATGAAGTAAATTATATCCGATAATTAAATACATCAGATAATTAAGGAAACGTTACTGATTTTACGGCCATTTTGAATGCACTCAATATTTTTTCAACAAAAAAACCTCCCACTCCCACCGCCCACGTTCACCATCGTGCACAGAAGGAAAACTCTCTTTCCGAAGATACTCCAATGGCGAAGACAAAAATCGCTCGAGATCCTCGAAAAAAAACGGCGAACGAAGATGATGAAACACCACAGATAAGATCGAGTTCCCGTCTTCGTAAGATCCACGCAAAATCCAAACCCAAACTCGTGCAGAAGAAGCTCGTTTTTGAGAGAAATATGAACCCTAAACCTAGTCGCAAGCCCACTGGCAACGCAAGAGTGAAGAAGCACATTTCATCCCCTGATTCAGACGACTTCCAGTCCAACGACGACCGTAGAACTCAAAAATCTTTTCGTCTTCACCGTAAATCAAAAATCCCCAATTCCACTGAAAATGAAAAATCTTCTGACACCAACTTCGAAGATAAAATTCAACCCGAAGACGTCGATAGCGAGGGATTGGAGAGCGTCGAAGAATCTCCGGTCGAAAATTTCAAGAAAAGAATCAACAAAAGGCAAAAACAAGAGAAAGATGCAGTTCAGAAGAACAAGAAAAAGAGAAAACCTAACACCGGCGTCCCAAGTGGCATGCAACATGTTCAGAAACAGATAGTGTATAACGTAAATTTTCTTCTACATTCCATTTTTTTCATTATATTTTCTCATCTGAAAGATTATTAATTTGTTTATTGATTTTGTTTATTGATTATCAACTATATCCTTTTGTCAGTTTAATGTGTGTATGTCAATGAATAAATCGTCATGGGTACCTCAGATTTTTGGTTGACTAAGCATGTTGTGTAGTCCTATGTTGATTAGAATTTTATAGTCCCAGAGTTTAATAATCTTACCCCTGTGCACTAACAGGGGTATATAGGAATTAGATTCATATGTATATAATAGGTGAATCAAATGACTGTATTTTTGTACTATTTTCAGTGTGAAATGATATAATCACTTGGGTTAATGTGTATATTCCAAGTAAATAACACTGTTGCTCCTTTTCACTCTTCCTATTTGGTTTTGCATATCTGCATCATTTGCTCACATAACTTACAGTATGGTATATTTTCTAGCTAAATATCCATGTTATTGTGCAAGTATTTATAAATTTTATGGTATAGCTAAGTTACCTGTTCATTTGCAAGTACATATTGTGAGTACTATGGTATTTTTTAAGTTTTTTTATAGTATAAGCTCATATAATATGTGGTCACATATACCACACATATAAACTGAATATATATCATTTTCTAGTATATCTATCTTATATTTTGTTCTGTAATATACCACATATATACCATTTTCCTGTGAAAATAACACTGTTCTGTAATATACCACAAGTATATTAGTATCCAAGTAAATAACACTGTTGCTCCTTTTCACTCTTCCTAATTGGTTTTGCATATCTGCATCATTTGCTTATCATGACATATATAAAATAATGCCCAACTGTTGCTCTTTTATATCTTAAGTATATGGTCTGGTTTATCTTCCTTTACATGTCATGATAAGTATATGGTATAAATATACTATGAATATAACAAATATATAATCAAACAGGTATATAAACCTGATTTGTATATTAATCATACTGTAGGTTATAATATGGTTCTATAAATTATAAATAAACTCGAGTCAAGTATGTTATCTGGGTATATATATCACATATATACTCAGTCAAGTATATTAATCAACCAGGTATGATTAATCAAGTATATTAATCAATCAGGTATGATAAGTATATGGTATATCTATAAACAGGTATATTACTCAGGTATATTAATTCCTTCTATATTAATCAATCATGTATATTACTCAGTCCCTGTCCCTGTCACTGTTTTTTTTAACAGTATATCTATCTTATATTATGTAGAGCCACATCAGGTGGCAGTATATGATAAGTATATGGTATATATATAACAGAAATATACCAAGTATATAATCAATACTATAAGTGTTAACATATTATAAGTTATGATATGGTCCTATATTATAAGTTACAATCAATACTGTAAGTTGTATCATATTGTATCATATTTGTAAGTTATAATCATGTATATAAAAATCCATATTGTTTTCTTTTCATTATTTTCAGGAATGGGAACTGCTAATCCCGCACCCCAGGGATATAAACGTGAAGGTGCAAAACAGTAACGATAACAACAAGGAAAAATGCACGATAAGTGACATCAAGAAGATGCTTACCAAGGAGCAATTGGAAGCTTTTAGGATGTCAGCCTTTGGGAAGTTCTTGGATCTCCCACACTGCATTGTACAAAACCAACTCATAAATTATATACTCCTACGCGAGGTTCATCAGAGTAGGACTGATGAAATTTGGTTCGATTTCGGAGGGAAATTCCTCCGATTTGGGATAGAGGAATTCGCTGTCGTGACTGGTTTGAAGTGCACTGGACATAGTAAGAAATTGAATATTCCAAAGATTGCCGGTGGTCTGCACGACAAGTATTTTGATGCTGTGGAGTTAAGCAGGAGTCACATCAGGTGGTAGTTTTTTAAAAAATTGTGGGCGAATGATGAAGATGCAGTGACATTTGCTAAGTTGCATTTATTAGCAAATTTCCTCATGGGCTCTCAAGATGCTCTTCGCATAGACCGCTGTTTTGTTGACATGATTGACAGTCCTGAGTGTGATGATTACTCGTGGGGAACCGCTGTGTTTCAGTTTACCCTACACTACCTGAAGAAATCAATCCAAACCAGAGAGCAGCTGCACATATCTGACAAGGATGATGGAAGCAACTTGTACCGGTGCTATGGTCTGATATTGGCTCTTCAGACATGGTTCTATGAGGTTTGCGAAACGACTGAGGGTGTAGTCGTAACCTACGTGGGTGTAAACAATATCCCGAGGATAATCAAGTGGGAAGTTCGGGAACCCTGTACTCGAAGTTTTGTGCAGAGGACGTTTTCTAATCTTGATCAATCTAAGGTAAAAAATAATTTTGTTCTTTATATATTTCTACATCTATCGCACTAACAAATTCTTTTTCTTCTTTATTGTGCACAATTCAATAACATAGTACCCACCGAAGCTGAGAAACAGACTCTTCTTTTGGACTCATTCTTCAGAAAAAAAAAATGAGTTCACTCGGAAAAAGATTC